AAAAAAAAAAAAAAAAAAAGATCAACCGCCATGGCCGAACCTTGGCTCTTCCTCCTCTTCCTTCTCATCTTCAACCACCCGCCGTCCTCCGCTGCAGCCACCGCCGCCGAAACCCTCCTCCGCTTCAAATCCTCTCTAACCAACACCGCCGCATTATCCAACTGGAACACCTCCGTGCCACTCTGCACCGGCGACCGCCACATCTGGGCCGGCTTGATCTGCAGAAACGGCCAACTGTACGGTCTCCGCCTCGAGAACATGAGCCTCGGCGGCTCCGTCGATACCGCCGCCCTAGCCGGCCTGCCAACACTCAGAACTCTGAGCCTAATGAACAATGGACTTCAAGGCCCATTGCCGGAGGTGAAGCAAATTCCGGCGCTTAAGGCTCTGTATCTGTCGGACAACAATTTCTCCGGCTCGATTCCGGGAGATGCGTTTGAAGGAATGGGGAATTTGCGGCGACTGTATTTGAGCCGGAATCGATTCTCCGGCGAGATTCCGGCGTCGTTGGCGGAATTGAAGAAGCTGGTGGAGCTGGGATTGGAAGATAATTCATTTGAAGGAAGGATTCCGGCGTTTGAAGAAAGGGATTGGAAGTATTTGAATTTTTCCGGTAATCGTTTGGAAGGGGCGGTTCCGGCGGGGTTGAAGAGCTCTAATTTCACTTCGTTTATTGGTAATTTCTTAATCCCAACCTCTTAATTATAAACTCTTAATTAATTACAATTAGTTAATCACATTTAACGCCCGAGTGAAGAGTCATCATTTCCAAGCAAATAATAAAATAATTAAAATAAAAAATAAGGAATATAAGCATAATAATATTTATATTTCCATTTAATGCATAATATTTCCGGAGTGTCACGCACGTTGCCTCAAATATCCCCAACCATATTACAAAAGATTATACTATAAGATTCTTATTCTCAAATCATCAATTAAATTTCAAAATTAAATTTCAATATTTATAGGATAAAGTAAATGTTCTATATATATATATTCGAAAACTATATTATAATATTGAATTTTGAATTTTTAGAAATTAAGTTGAAAATATATTAATATATATTATTGGAGTTATTAAGATATTTTTACGTATTTTAATAGAAATTACATTTATTAAGAAAATATTTAAAATGATTATAGGTATTGAAAGAATATATTATAATATTAAATTTTAAATTTTTAGAAATTATATTTATTATTATACTATATTTATTTTTATGAAATATTATTGAAGTTATTAAAATATTTTAAATTCGGAAAAGCTTAATTTTATTTTTAAATAAATTATTAATAAACAAAATTTGAATTTTTTTTTTTGTCTCTCTCATTTTGATTATTTTGTATAGGTAACGATTTATGTGGAGAGCCATTAACACCATGTAAATCATCTACAAAGAAGTGGCCCATTCTGATCGGAATCTTCTCCGGCGCCGCCGCCTTAATCCTCTTACTTATCCTCCTCCGCTGCTTTTTCCGGCGGTCGAAATCATCCGCCGCCGTGTACGACGACGCGAAACCCAAAACAAAATTATTCTTCTCTCCCAAAATCCTCTTCAAAAGGTCGGAAAAGACCTACCAATATTCCTCGACCGACTCGGACGAGAACTCGAAGATGAGCGGTTCGGCCGGATCGGGTCTGAGTTTTATTAGAACCGATCGGCCGCGGTTCGATTTTCAAGAACTTCTTGGCGCCTCCGCCGAAGTTCTCGGCGGTGGGAGCTTTGGGTCGTCTTATAAAGCCGTGCTTTCGAATGGGTCGGCGGTGGTGGTTAAGAGATTCCGGCAAATGAACGCCGCCGGAAAAGACGAGTTTTACGGCCACATGAAGCGGCTGGGACGGCTGTCGCATCCGAATTTGCTGCCGCTTGTCGCGTTTTATTATGGAAAGGATGATAAGCTTTTGGTGTCTGACTTTGTTGACAACGGCAGCTTGGCTAGTCATCTCCATGGTAATTTCTTTATTTATATATATATATATATATATATATATATATATATATATATTAATTTGATTTCTATAGTTTTAAAATTTATAATAATTTTACGAAAGGTTAATGGTAATATTACAACTCATTTATTTTCTACAGCTCGACGAGCACCGGAAAATCCGGGGTTAGATTGGCCGACGAGGCTGAAAATAATAAAAGGAGTAGCAAGAGGCCTTCTCTATCTTCACAATGAGCTCCCCAATCTGAACCTTCCACACGGCCATCTAAAATCCTCGAACGTCCTTCTCGACAAAAACTTCACTCCATTTCTCTCCGACTACGCCCTTTTTCCAATCCTCCAAAAGTCCCACGCCCACCACCACATGGCTGCCTTCAAGTCCCCGGAGTTCACCCAACATAACCAGACCTCCAAGTCGACCGACGTCTGGAGCCTCGGCATTCTCATCCTCGAGACCCTCACGGGCAAGTTCCCCGCCAACTACCTCCGCCAAGGCCAGGGAGCTAATGCCGACCTTGCTGCCTGGGTCGAGGCCGTTGTTCGAGAGGAGTGGACGGCGGAGGTCTTCGACGGCGATATGGTTGGGAGTGGGGATTATTGTGGCTATTGGGATGGAGGGATGTTGAAGCTTTTGAAGATTGGGATGAGTTGCTGTGAATGGGAGGTAGGGAAGAGGTGGGGATTGAAAATGGTGATTGAGAAGATTGAGGAGTTGAATTTGAATGAGAGGTCTTATGATGAAGACGAGGCCTATTACTCTTCCAATGGGAGTGATGGAGCGTTCTATTCTAATTCATCGTTCAAGCGGCGGACGGAAGACGAATCGTCATTTTTGGGGTGATAAATTGTTCGGGAGGCTGAAACATCAACACGGTGCTCGTGATTTATGTATTTAATTGGACCCGTCACAATGTGACTGCAAACTAATGACTATTACATAGAGATTCAAGAATATGCATGTTTCTAATAGTTGCACGATACAAAATTCGATAACGTACTCGTTTTTTAGATTGGATAAATGCAAAACAAAATTGTTGTCTAATCCTATCTCAAAATACATCAATTCCTTGAAGGTAGATTTGATACGCTATTGAACTCATTTTCTCCGAGCTTTTTTGATGAAGTTACATCTTTCTCAACGATCAAGAGTGCTTTCTAGATAGATTAATCATTCCAGAACCAACACATTTCAGGACGACCGTTCCGTTGGAAGGATCGGCTTCAATATTAAACATTACCTTCAAGAAGTCTTCAATGTTTCTGAGAGTTTCTATCCCATATGGTGTTAGCTTTCCGACCCGAACCTTCGAAACGTCTGCAGGGCATAATGCACAAAGAAGGAACAATAATCCCTGCAACAAACGAGACATGAATGTAGAGACTAAATTAGGTGAGCATATATTCATTAAGATTTGGCAGGGCAAATCAGACTACAAAGTAAAACTAGCACCCCTCGTGATATAATACCCCCTCTGAGATCCTACATCAGTTGGAGAGGAGAGCGAAACATTCCTAATAAAAGTGTGAAAACCTCTCCCTAGTACACGCGTTTTAAAACCGTGAGGCTAACAGCGATATGTAACAGGTCAAAGCGAACAATATTTGCTAACGGTGGGTTTGGATTTGTTACAAAAATCTACCCTCCTTGGGGGCCCAGCGTCCTCGCTGGCACACCACTCAAGTGTCTGGCTCTGATACCATTTGTAATAGTCCAAACCCATCGCTAGCAGATATTGTCTGCTTTGACTTGTTACATATCGTTGTTAACCTCACGGTTTTAAAATGCGACTACTAAGGAGAGGTTTCCATAAGGAATGCTTCGTTCCCCTCTCCAACTGATATGTGATCTCACACTCCCAAATTGTCATAACGCAAGCAAAGTGCTCGAAGATCATATATGTTGATTTCAGAGTCTTAACCTTGTTTAATTCTTATGTTTCTAGAAACAAACTAGCACGTCACCGGTTATTTCGCCCAAGCTCTACTCGACAGATCTCTATCGATTCCACCAACAAAAGCCCTTCAATTATTCATCTTCATACATTGATCTTCTCCCATTGCATTTTTACAAATCTTGCTAATACATGAAATTTATTTTTTAAAAACAATTATCAAACATGTCTTTGGTTTTAGTTTATAAAAAACAAAAAACCATTAAAAAAAAAACAGAAAATCAAACGATTATCAAATCGAGCTTTAACTTTTTGTTTTTTCTTGTTGAAAAGTAAACTTAAAAATTGTACTTCTACCTATAACCTATAAGGTTCTCTGTTTTATACCTATTTTCCACCAATGTCCTAAAAAATCAATCCAGTTTTAGAAAATAAAAATAGAAAACTAAAAGAGAAAATCATTATCAAATGAGTCTCTTGTTATTGGAGAACACTAACCTGGTGTGTTGAGTCAACTACGCCACCTTGATTAATCTCACCGAGCAGAGCATACGCCATTTGTTCACCAATATCTTCGGGAGGTGGGAGCTCTTTCTTCTCTTCTTCAAACTCGGTTGATTCTCCAGCATGTCCATATGAAACTGTGGTATCAGCAGATATAAAACAACCTTTTGTAGTTTCCGCGACCAGTGAAATGCCAAACCCAGGTGAGCTGCCATTTAAAATCATCTTTTAAAACTTAAGAACAAGCCAATCTAGGATGGAAATTTGAAGAAATTAATTCAAAGGGGAAAGAACGCATACTTTCCAGCTTGAGGTCCCTTTCTATGATCAGTGAATATGTGCACATCTGGAAGTAGACGATTAAACACTCCACGAGCCGAAGTTATCATAGCATGCTCGAACTGAGAAGAAACTCTAGTTGAAAATGAAACCCCTCTAATGCTTTTGACCATTCCTTCTTCGGTCCAAGATATTGCCTACACAACATCAACAACCGTTTTTTATGAGAAACGGAAGAAAACATATATTAAGTATAACTCAATTGCCATAAAGTTTGTACGTTCGATGACGAAGAGGTCAAAGGATGAAATCCTAGACCCCACATATTGTCCACAAAAAAAAAAAAACTTCAATGCCATATGGATGAGGAACCCTAAGCAGTGGGAGTATCAGAAAATGTTTTGAGTACCGCAATCCAATCAGTATAACATCAATAAACGCAGCCAACTTCAACTATACTTTCCTCCAATAAGTCTTGACCTTTCGTAAGCACTATAAAACTACCCTGTGAGTAGAAGTCCATTTGAATGCTAGACAAAAAAATCGACATGACGATGACGACTTCCCAACATTGCAATAACTTGAAACGACATGTGAACAAGATGCTTGTCTGAATAAGTCTAAAAGAATGACATTCCATGCTGGCCTTTTGTTCGACACTAATGATTTTTCTACTCAGTTTTAAAACATTTATGAAAGATTAAGAATAATATTATAACTTTTGAAAGAATAAGAATATTCTCGAAACAAGGGGCAAAGTTCATAAGTAATTTTTATAATTTAACCATTTAAGAATACAGAAATCAAATCGAAGAAACATAAATTTAAGAATTTTTATCTTGAGTTAAAGAGATATATACATTCTCTAAAATGATAACTAAAGTCAATTCAAATCAACCCAACTCAATTTTGAGATACAATTACACACAGGCAAGTGGATGTGACTGGCTCAACACATGAGATATTTTAACCCAACCCAAAGTTGAATTGTTTAGATTCTCACAAGTTTATCTAATAACATGATGATATATATAAAATGATGCAACTCACCGATAAACTTTTAACCGTTGGGAGGGTCAAGGTCACTTCTCCCCCACCATGAGGTGGTACTCCGCGACTTTCTATTTTCAAGACCACGTCTTTAAGATCAACTCCAAAGTGCTTTAACATGGGCAAGGTCGTTGATTTGAAAGTATCTACCGATGGGTCCTTCGAGTCATTAGTAATACCTATAAAGATAGAATATTAATCAATTAGATTGGAACTATTAAGACTTTCTTTTTCTAAAGCATTGAAATTAAATTCTTTATATAGTTCCAAAGCCGAAATCAATGCCTAAACTTGAAGAGACCAAAAACTAACTCAGGTAGAAAAACACAAACCTTTCAGATTAATGGAGAGGGGTTTCCTACCAAACAATGCTAGAACAATCAACGGTTCGAGAAAATAACCAATAGCACGACTGGTACCACAATCGTGCACCAAATGTCTCCCGCCCATCACAATGCCAGGTTTGTACTTCAATTTTGTTCCTTCAAAATTAGAAAAACAAAATCATATGCATATTGATACAAAGAAAAGAGAACAACCAGATGCAGAATAAAAAAAAGAATTGAACAACGATGGAAATCATGATTATGAGTACCGGTCTCATTGATTTCAATGAAAGAGTCATCACAAATTTTCTCCATCAATCGGAGAAACGAGACCTCATGGGGTCGTAGGCCTGGCCAGGTCTCGTCTGTTCGAATGTCCTCGATTAGAACTGGAGTGTGGCTCAATGTTGCGAGCAACAACCTTTGCCTCAGAATTTGGCTTCCCTTCAATCGCTTGTACTTTGTCTTCAGCATTTTCTTTCTCCCCTTTTTCTTATTTGCTTAATTAAGAAAGGTTTTAGGCTGAACCCTGATGCAAAATTGTATACATGAGATGCAAAACCACAACAAACATCCAACCATGCTTCAATTCAAACCACAACAATTCTAGAATAATACATATAAATACACAACATGCTAGCAATCGAATAGACTCAAAAGATGAAGACTACTCATGAAAATGCCCTAAGTTGCCACTTGAAACAATTTGAAAAGATATCTAAGCAATAGGGACGATGTTTGGAAGTTAGAAATTAATGTAAAACCCTAAAACGAAGTTGAAAGAGTGATCTGGAAGGATAATCTTACTCAAAATTAGCTTTAATCGAACACAAGCTTACGAGAATTACAAACTGATCTAAGACACCTTATATGAGTCAGTGGGTAATGCAAATATATGGTGGGGGGTTCAGCGTCAAACCTTGCCGAATATGAGAAAACTGCTGCTGGTTGCCGCTACTTCGCTCGTCAAGTGGGAGGAAAGAGAAGTCGCCGGACTGCTTTGTACGCTCGGCGGAGAGACGCCGCTAGAAACGCCGCCGCATCAGTCACAATCGCCAAAAGGAGAGAGAGGTCGCTGGGGTGAGTTGCCGTAGTTGCAAGTGTGGCTTGGAAGGGGAACGCGCCGCCGGAGTTTGCAGCCCAAGATATCTGGCTAGAGAAGGAGAAATCGTAATGTAAAGCGTGGCGGGCAGAACAACCGGATGGTATGCAGGGGTTTTGTACGGATGACCTAAGAGGTTTCCAATCCTTCCCACACTTTTCTACTTAAATATATTTACTCCTACCGCTCTATTTTATTTTCTTTATCTTTAAATTTTCAAAAAAAAAAAAAAAAAAAAAACTATATTTTAAAGATGCAAGTAAATTTTTAAAAGTAATATTAACATTATTTATATTTATAAATAAAAATCTTTATGTTTAATTTTATGTTTAATTTTTTTTAATATTTCTTTTAAGTTTACAAATATTTTAAAATATAATATTAAAAAAAAAAATTAAGTATATTAATGATTTTTGAAAATTTAAATGGACTCTTTTCATAAAGGTATTTTAAAATTTTTAAGGATATTTGTTAGAGGAAGAATATTTTTATTAATTTAACTATATATTAATATTATATATGTATATATATATATTTATACAAGTGATTTAAATGCAATTTTTATTATTTATTAGAACATTGAATTTTTGTAAAATGTTCGTCTCTTAATTCATTAAAGGGTAGTGTTACTGCCCGTCTTATGGTCTATATACCCCTCTTAAAATCGAGCGTCATATTCATATTCATGTTCTTATTCGTGTTCGAAAAAATTGTCTTGTCAAAAAAAACATTTTAAGGTAATTGAATTATTATTATTTTTATCTAGATAGACAAAAAGAGACATAATACCATATATATCCATTAAAAAAACACAAGACAAAAGCAGGAAAACGACAAATTCGAAATCCCACCTGGACGAAGGCTCCCTCGAGTTGGCTTGAAAACAAAAAATGAGGCCGCAAATCGTGGCTCTCCCACCCTTCGCCTCCATAATCAGCCATACATACGCCCAAAAGACAGGGACAGCGCCAGAGAGAAGGAAGCAACCCAGTTGCTTCTTCATTTGTTTTTTGTTTTTGGTTCATTTCTTCTTCTTTGTTCTCTCTGTTTGTGTTTTTTTTTTTTTTTTTTGTTGCCATTTTTGTCTGTGTAGGTTAAGCCGAGAAATGTGGACTCAGAAGTATGCAAAGGAAAGGAAGGAGGTGGTGGTCTCCGGCAATCAATTGGTCGGAATCGCCATTGACAAGGATAAAGGAAGCCAAAATGCTCTGAAATGGGCTACTGAGAATCTCCTTCAAAAGGGCCAAACCGCCATTCTTGTCCATGTCAAGCTCAGATCTTCGTCCCATTCAGGTTCTTCTTATGCTTCCTCTGGTAGGCGAAATTGTCGGTTGATTGTTTGTTTAATCCCCACGATCTGGTTCCATTTTGATTGACAAATGGACCCCAATTCTCTCCGATTCACCTCCTTTGGAGCCCATCATCCTTGGTGGCACGCTGCCTTGTGTCCACCCCTTCAGGGTTCAGCCTCTTTGCTGACACATCGTTTGGTGTCTGACTATAATAACATTTGTAACGGCTCAAGCCCACTACGGTAGATATTGTACTTTTTGCATTTTTTAAAACAGAACTATTAAAGAGAAGTTTCTGATCTCACAATCCACCCCCTTCGAGGCCAGTTTCTTCGCTGACACTCGTTTTTTTTTTCTCTAATCAATGTGGGACCCTCAAATACACTCTCTTTCTGAGCCTAGCGTCTTTGCTGGTACACCGTTTCATGTCCACCCCCTGGGTTCAGCTTCCTCGCTGGCACATCGTTCGGTGTCTGGTTCTGATACTATTTGTATCAGCCCAAGCCCACCGCGGGTAGATATTGTCCTCTTTAGACTTTTCGTTTCAGGATTCCTCTTAAGTTTTTTAAAATGTGTATGCTAGGGAGAAGCTTCTACCTTCTAACTCTTACAAAGAATGTTTTGCTTCCCTCTTCAACCAATGTGAAATCTCACAATCCACTCCCTTCGAATCCCAGCGTCCTCGCTGGCACTTGTTCCGTTTCTCCAATCGACGTGGGACTTCTCAATCCACCCCCTTCGGGACCCAGCGTCCTTGTTGTCACATTGCCTCGTGTCCACCCCACTTTGGGGTTCAACCTCCTTGTTGGCACATCGTTTGGTGTCTGACTCTGATACCAGTTGTAACAGTTCAAGCCCACCGCGGCAGATATTGCCCTCTTTGGATTTTTCCTTTCCGGCTTTTCTCAAAAATTTTAAAACGTATCTGTTAGGGAGAGGTTTTTACGCTCTTATAAAGAATGTTTCGTTTCTCTCTCCAACTAACATAAGATCTCACGTATAATCATATAATCATATAATGGTCATTTTTTTTTTTTTTTGTCTGGGAGGAAAGTTTGAAACAGGGCAACTTTATTTTTTTGCTTGGTTTTCATGCCATGTTCTTCAAACTTACAATCTCAGATAGCTTCCATGAAAGTCATATTGTGATGCTTATTGGGTGCAGATTTGATGTCCAACAATGGCAGTGGCAATGTTTTGGTAAGCAACGAAATCGACCCGAGCACGAGGGATTTGTTCCTTCCTTTTCGATGCTTCTGCACCCGAAAAGATGTAGGTTCTCCTCTTCTCTTTTATGTTTAACGAAACGAAACGAAGCGAAGCGAAGCGAAGAATCAATCAAGCTGTGTTTTAGATCATTCTGATCTTAAATTCTTATCTCTGGCATTAGATATTCTGCAAAGACATTGTTATTGAAGATGTAGACGTTGCAAAAGCATTGATTGAATATGTCACTCAAGCTGGAATCGACACTTTGATCGTCGGTACGACGACTAAAAGTGGCTTCTTGAGGTTCGATGTTTGTTTCGTAAATTCTTCCCTCAGCTCGTTTGGTAACATTCTCGTTTCTTATCGTTCGTTTTCAAACTTTCATACACAATACAAATGAAAACGAGAATGTTACCAAACGACCCCTTTAACTTGTTTCGAAGTTTCATTTGTTCGAGTTCGAAAGGAACTGAACTTCCTTTTTCTTTGGGCTATTTCCCGATACCATTTTGTCTCGGAAGATTCAAAACGACAGATATTCCAGGCACAATTCTCAAAGGAGCACCAGATTTCTGCAATGTTTATGTCATATCAAGAGGGAAGATCCAAACTATGCGATCGGCCTCACGTCCCGCTCCAACTTCTTCGCCTCTACGAAACTTTTTGCTAAGCCAATCCGGTATCAAATCGCAATCATCAGACTCACAAACGCCTCAGATTCAAAGTATGTTGTAATTCACTTTCTTATTTTTTAGTACACTTATCTACCATGATCTAGCTTAAATAACCGATCCGTTCTTAAGTAGGACCGGAAAAGCCTCCCATCGAACCAGCACGAAGATCACACGAAAACATCGAGTTCAGGTCGGTGACACGTTTTAGAAACTGTTATTATTATGACATCTTATTCAGTTTGACATATTAAGGATTGTTATGCAAATTGTCTTTGGGAACAGGTCTCCATTCACTAGGAAAGGTTACAATGGCAAAATGCCAGGGGAAATGAGTGTGCCGGATACCGATATTTCTTTTGTTGGCTCGGGAAGGCCGAGTGTCGACAAATTGTTTCCAACGTACTATGATGCCGTGGATCCAGGAAGAATGCCCCCACGACTGTCGAATGGCACCGATGGTGATATATATCATAGCTTTGAATCGCAGCCGTTCGGACGCAAATCATTGGATGTAAACTTTCAAGAATTTTCATCGATCTTCTCGGAAGGCGAAAGATTATCGACTTCGTCACAGAGTATGGTAAGTGCTAGATTATAGAGATTGATTTGATTCTCGTCCCGTTCACGAGCTGGGAAAGATATTGAATTCGACGTATAAAACGACGATACGTCGATGACTGCAGGAAGAAGTAGAGGCTGAAATGAGGAGGCTGAAGCTGGAACTAAAGCAAACTATGGAAATGTATAGCACAGCCTGCAAGGAAGCACTTACAGCCAAGCAAAAGGTGAAAGAAGTTAAATGATTGTACTGAAATTGTGAGATCTCACGTCCATTGGAGAGGAGAACGAAACATTTCTTATAAGGGTGTGGAAACCTCTCTGGTAGACGTGTTTTAAAAACCTTGAGGGAAAACCCGGAATGGAAAGCCCAAGGAGAACAATATCTGTTAGCGGTGGGCTTGGACTGTTACAAACGGTATCAGAGGCAGACATTGGGTGATGTGTTAGAGAGGAGGTTGAGCCTCGAAGAGGTAGATACGAGGCGGTATGCCTGCAAGGACGCTAGGCCTGAAGGGGGGTGGATTGTGAGATCCCACATCAGTTGGGGAGGAGAATGAAGCATTGTTTATAAGAGTATGGAAACCTCTCCCGAGCAGACACGTTTTAAAAACCTAAACCTCGAGAGGAAGCTCCAAAAGGGAAAGGTCAAAGAGGACAATATATGATAGCGGTGGGCTTGGGCTATTGCAGAAGTTTAAAAACAAACTCTTCACATATATTGCAGGCGATAGAGCTTCAACGATGGAAATCGGAGGAAGAACGGAGAATCGAGGAGGCTAGACTTGCTGAGGAAGCTGCATTAGCAATGGTCGAGCAGGAAAAGGCGAAGTCTCGAGCGGCTATGGAGGCTGCTGAAGCATCTAAACGGATCGCGGAGTTGGAAGCACAAAAGAGAATTAACGCGGAAATTAAAGCATTCAAGGAAGCAGAAGAGAAAAAGAAGGCATTGGATGCATTGGCAAACAACGACGTCAGGTATCGGAGGTACACGATCGAGGAGATCGAAGCTGCTACCGAGTTCTTCTCGGAATCTTTGAAGATTGGAGAGGGAGGCTATGGACCTGTTTACAAGGGTTATTTGGATCACACACCTGTTGCTATTAAGGTCTTACGTCCAGATGCAGCTCAAGGAAGGTCACAGTTCCAACAAGAGGTGAGGAACCAAACAGTATCCTAGGATTATCCAAATGTTCTGTTTGTTGTAACATAATATGCTTCTTGCATCGTTTATAGGTCGAAGTACTAAGCTGCATCCGACATCCGAACATGGTTCTTCTCCTCGGAGCATGCCCCGAGTACGGCTGCTTGGTCTACGAGTTCATGGCAAATGGTAGCTTGGACGATTGCCTCTTTC